AATTGACTTAGTTCACCTCTGGTGTCAAATGTCTAAAGGGCAGGATCTTTTGTGTGCTTATTAAAGAACTCTTTTATTTGGGAGACAAGTTTGCCTCCCAAATAAAAATACTTTGAGACTGTGGGAGATTTCATTTTGCTTTTGAAGGCAATTCCTAGCCTCCTGAGTGTCTCAAAGAGGAAACCAGTCAATCTGTCATGGCACTTCAAGTAGCTTCCTTATACATACCCTCAGAGTTTCCTGTATTTTACCTTCAAGGCGCTTATCACAATTTATAATTATTTCTGTCATCTATTCTCCTCATCTTGTATCTTTAGCACCTGGGACAATGCCTGGCACAGAGGAGGAGTTCAATAAATGTGTTGAGTAAACATGAACAAGTTCCAGTCAAGATGGGTGAGTAGGTAAACACTGTGCTTGCCACCTTTCACAATCACATCAAAATTACAACCAAACTGTAGAACAGCTATCATTGGGAGTCGCTTGAATTCTGGCTGAACAGAAGTCCTACAACTGGGGACATACAGTAGAGGCCATTTTGAGACTGGTCGGAGGAGTGGAGATGTGGAACAGGCTGGTTCCTCATCCATGTGTAGTGGTTGAGAATTGGGAGGGATATATCAGCTGTGAAGTTCCCCCTGGAGGAGTGAGGGGTTCTCAGCCCCACACTGGGCTCTTCAGACCAGGGTTCCAATGCCAGGAAGAGAAGTCTCCACTTCTGGCTGTAAAAACCCACAGAGATTATGGCTGATTAAGACGGAGGGCAACTAGAGTTGCAGACATTTCTCCTAAAGGGCCTGCATGAAGACTTACTCAGTGACGGACTCACTCACTCTGAGCTCGGGCTGGGGCAGCAGCTTGAAAAGCACCAGGAACATACAGGGTGGAATGCAATTGTCTGGCTTCAGGGCAAGGGCTGGAGGGGCAGCTTTCTCCTAGACAGAAGTGCTGGCAGAATCTATTGTTACTTTGTTGAGCCCTCCCCACTCCTGGTGAACAGACATAGGTGGCCATGATATCTGAATCTCCATCAACCTGGCTGGCTTGCCCTGGTGATTCTTGGAGACCTCACCCCACCCAACTTGTGAGCCCACTCAAGCTGCTTTCTGTGGCTTTTCCATACAAGTGGCCTGTCTTGGCTCATGCTGTGGACATATCTAAAATCTCTGAAAGTTTTGCAAAACCCATACAAGCTGCATCTGGCCTCTGCATGCCCCATACCTCTTGCTGAGCAGCTCCAAGCCTCGTTCATGGCTTGATCCCTCAAGGCTTCCTTCTCCAAGGACAGTGTGGGCAGCAGCCATCAGCAGATTGCTTAATGACTCTTGCAAGGTGGCTTTGGGCATGGCATAGGCTGTGGCTGAACTTGGCCTGTGGCGGGGCCCCTCCCAGGAGTCCCTAGGGCTGGCACACCTGATAGCTGACTTCTGACCAGCTCAGAGCACCACCTGGGGCTGCATTGATGACACACCCAAAAGGCAGACTGGGCAAGCACCAGAGCCCTGCTAAAGCGAATCCTGCTCCATAGAGTCAGTCTCTCACCTGCCACTTCTCACAACCAATCAGCCCAAGGGTCAATTCCTCTCAATGACATGAAAAGTGAAATGAAGGCTCAACTACAACAGGAGGGCACACACAACCCATAAAAGGGACATATCTGGAGTAGCTGGCCCAAGTGACCAGGGAGACTGTGTCACTTGGCCCCACAGGACACCTACTATATAAGGCTACTCTACTAAGACTGGGAGACATAGCAGCCCTACTTAATAATAGAAACAAACACAGGGAGGCAGCCAAACACAAGGAGGCAGCCAAAGTGGGGAGACAAAGAAACATGTCTCAAATGAAATAATAGAACAAAGCTCTAGCAAAAGAACTAAACAAAATGGAGACAAGCAATCTACTGGATACAGAGTTCAGAACACTGTTATAAGGTTATAAAGATGCTCAATAAACTTAGGGGAAAAGTAGAGAAACTCAGTGAGAGCTTCAACAAAGAAATAGAAAACATAAAAATGGAGATAGAAAATATAAAAAAGAACCAGTCAGAAATGAAGAATACAATAACTGAAATAAAGAATACCCAGAGGAATCAACAGTAGATTAGATAAAGCAGAGGTCTAATTGGTGACTTAGAAGGTAAGGTAGCAGAGAACACCCAATCAGAACAGCAACAAGAAAAAGAATCCAAAAAATTGAGGACAGTTTAAGGGGCCTCTGGGACAACATCAAGTGTACCAACATTTGCATCATAGGCATAGCAGGAGAAGAGAGAGCAAGAAATTAAAAACCTATTTGAAGAAATAATGACTGAAAACTTCCCTAAGTTGATGAAGAAATAGACATACAAGCCCAGGAGGAACAGAAAATCTCAAACAAGATGAACCCAAAGAGGCCCACACTAAAACACATCATAATTAAAATGGCAAAGGTTAAAGACAAAGAGAGAATCTTAAAAGCAGCAAGAGAAAAGCAGTTAGTTACCTACAAGGAAGTTCTTATAAGACTTTCAGCTGAATTCTCAACAGAAATTTTGCAGGCCAGAAGGGTTTTCAGTGATGAAAACCCAGGATCTACAATCAAGATGACTCTACTCAGAAAAGCTATCATTTCGAATCGAAGGACAGATAAAGAGCTTCCCTGAAAAGAAAAAGCTAAAGGAGTTCATCGACACCAAACCAGTACTACAGGAAATGCTGGAGAGACTTCTTTAAGAAGAAGAAACAAGATAAATGATAAAAAATATGAGTAATAAAATGGCAATAACTACATATCTATAAAAAATTACTTTAAATGTAAATGGATTAAATGCTCTAATCAAAGACATAGGGAGGCTGAATGGATAAAAAACAAGACCCTTGCATATGTTGCCTGCAAGAGACTCACTTCAGATCGAAAGACATATGCAGACTGAAAGTAAAGGGATGGAAAAAGATATTTCATGGAAATGGAAACGAACCAATAAAAAGCTGGGGTAGCAATACTTACACCAGACAAAATAGACTTTAAAACAAAGGTCCTAACAAGAGACAAAGAAGGACCCAGTAATCTCACTCTGAGTATTTATCCAAAGAATCCCAAAGCACTACTTCGAAAGGACGTGTGCATCCATATGTTCATTGCAGCATCATTTACAACAGTCAAGATATGGAGGCAACCTGGGTGTCGATCAATAGATGATTTGATAAGGAAGAGGTGGTATATATATATATACAATGGAATTACTCAGCCATAAAAAAACAAAGTCTTGTCATCTGCAATAACACGGGGAGACCTAGAAGGTATTGTGCTGAGTGGAGTAAGCCATGTAAAGAAAGGCAAATACCATATGATTTCACTTATATGTGGAATCCAAAGAACAAAATAAACAAAACAGAAACAGACTCATAGATACAGAGAACATTTTGATGGTGGCCAGATGGGAGGGAGCTTTCAGGGAGGAAAGGGGAAGGGATTAAGAAGTACAAATTGGTAGTTAGGAAATAGCCATCGGAATGTATAGTATAGTATAAAGAATATAGTCGATAATATTATAATAACTATATACAGTGTTGGATGGGTACTAGATTTATCAAGGTGATCACTTTATACATAAATGTCTAATTATCATGTTGTACGCCTGAAACTAATAATATTGTATGCCAACTGTAATTAAACAATTTTAAAAATTATTTTTTAAAAAGCCATGAACAAATGAAGCTTGTGATTTGGGCCTCAACCTCTTTTAGGGTACAATTGTATATGACCTTGGCTAGTTATAAAACTTATCTGAATCTTAGTTTATGCATTTATAAAGTAGGGATAATATTGTTTTATCTACCCCAGAGTTTGGGAATGTTATGTCTGTAGTAGATGCTTAGTAAATATTGGTAGAATGAGTGAATGTGCATGCTATCTCTGTAATAAATGACACCTGTGTTTTAACAAGAATTTCTTTCATCTAACAGATGAGAGAAATTGAGTACCCAAGCAAGAAGAATCTTATTTATTGAGTGGGAAATGAAATTCAGGATTCCATATAGCATTGTCCAGGAGTCTATATTTCTCTTCTGGTTGTAACATAGTACTAGATATTTTTTAATGGGAGAGGGGGAAATTTTTAAAATAAATTTGGGCCAAATTAGTAATGATTGACTTTTCCAATTTCTAAGGGGTTTGTGTCTGCCACAGATTTTAACTAAGTCTGGTCTACCGAGAGTAGAGATTCTAGATTGCTTGTATCTTAAAAACCTGTAAGAAAGACACAATAGTGAATGTGAATCTGAAGATCAGGGAGAGTTCTATAGAGCTAGCGTTCTCATCGGTTGGTACAGCTAATTGGCCTTGTGAAACAGTGGCAGGATAAGATCCTGATCTTGGAGGGATGGCAAAAATGCTTTCAGCCTAACAATTCCTTATCTTACATGCCTCACAGGCTGGCCTAGCTTAATCTGCCTATTTCTATCATCAGGGCAGTAAAAATACCCTGCATATAAAATACAAATGCCACTCGGTTTTTGTCGTTGTTGTTGTTGTTCATTGCTTCTCCACCACGTCCGCCCACTTCTGGAATTTCTCGCACCTGACATTTCCTTAGGCATACAGAATACAGAGAAGAGAGAAGAGGCAGCAAGGGTCCAAATGTAGTAACTAGAGTTACATATTTTATTTGAACCTCATCTCTGGAGAAAGGGGAACAGAGCTGAGAGGATTACGTTAGAGGTAGCCTGATAAAACCCCTGAGATGTGGGGTATGCGAAGGAAAAAAATCCTTCATTAGAATGTCTGTTGAAGGTGAAATGAGGTGCACCTGGATGAGGAATTCAGAGATAATTCTTTGTATTTAGTATTGTGATCTAGAAGCAAGATCACACTGCTGAGCAAGGAAGAAGGGCAGCAGGTAGAAGAGTCCCAAAGCAAGTACTGCTAGTTAGTAACTTGTCTAGGATTTCTGACCAAATGACCCAACTTGCGTGGAGAGGGAATCAAGGGAATCTGACCCCTTATTCCCAGTTCACCTTCTAGTGATCCTCAGTGTCACTGCCCTTAGGTGAATATGAATTCATATGTTGACGCCTCCTCTCTACTGACTGTGTCCTAGGCTGAGTTTGACTTAGAGAGCTGGAAGGCTTAGACTGCTGATACAGAGGCCAGTACTGCTGCCAAGAATAAGTTTGATCCCTTGGCCTGGATTTGGACTTGGGCTTGGGTTCAGGCTCAGGCTCGGGCTCAGGCTCAAGTTCCAGCTCTGTCTCGGGCTCGAGCTCTGTTTCAGGCTCCAGCTCAGATTCGGGCTCTAGCTCTGATTCAGGCTCCAGTTCACTACACAGGTCTAGGTCCAGACCTCTCATAGCTTCTTGTTCTGACTCCAGCGTGGGTTCCAGCTCCATGTCCAGCTCTGACTCCTCCTCTGTTATTGGCTCTTGGATCATGGTGAAGCCAGAACTTACATTTTTGGGGGCATCTAGAATACTGCTGCTTATTTTATGTCTTGACTCTGCATCCTGAAATATACATAATTAGATGTGTTAACATTTCCAATTAAATCTAACTTTTGAATAGTCAAGGAATTTCAAAATACAATAGGATTTCAGGTACCAGAATCATGGGTTCCTGGCAAAATAGAAAAAAACTTCTGGCCTAAATCTGTTTTTCATCTTTTTTGTACCCTCTGGTTCCTCAGTTACCCATTATTTTTTAGGCTTAATCAATCCACAACTTCTGGTTTCTCTGGATTTCCTACCTAGCCTGGATTTCATGGTCAACCATTTGAATAACAATGGTCTTGGTGGCATTCTGAAACATCTCGTCTTGTTGATCTTACTTGTCTTCCTATCTCCCAATGTAATCCTCAGCAGGGCCCTTCATGACCTAGCCTCTTGCTATCTTCTCTGGCTTTATCTCCAGCTGTAGTCCCCACTCTTTGCTCTAGCCATTAAGCTGACCAAAGATGCCTGACTACTGCTTACCTTTGCGTATGCAGCTAGCTCCCTGTGTCTGCCTTGTCCTTCTCCATCGTTCCAGATTCAGATCAAAGATCATTAACCAGGATATTAAATTCCTTTGTGTTCCAACTGTATCTCACTCACATCTTTATCATAGTACCAGTAATATATTGCCTTATTCATTTACAAATCTATCTCCCCTATTAGACCCTAAGCTCCTTGAGGTAGGACAGTGTCTGGTTCTTGATATCCCCAGTACCAGGGGGCCTGTCACAGAGCAGACCCCCTACAGGCTTCATGAATCAGCCTTGCAGCAGCATTCTGAAATATTTTTTTCTCTTCCACCATATGACATTTTTTTGCTTTTCTCTCTTCCTTTCTGGTTGCTTCTTCCTGGTCTCTCTGTTGTCATCACTACTTCTTCTGGACTTCTGAATGTTGGCATGCCCCAAGGCTTAACCCTGGGACCCTTCTCTTCTCCATCTACACTGCCCCCATAGGCAATTTTATTTAGTCCCGTAATTTTTATTACCATCTTTGTGCCAATGACTTTTTAGTTATAACCCTTGCCCTAATCTGCTGGTTCATATATCCACTTCCATTCTTGACATCTCCACTTGGATGTTTAATAGGAATCTTGAATTTAATACATCCAAAATTGAAATTTTTCCTCTCCTAGTCTTTCCTAGCTTAAATGCTAGAAAAAAAAAAAATGACATACTCAACACCAAGTTTTCAACAAAAAAAAAACTTTGCTTTTTCTTAATATAAGTCCTGATGAGAATATTAGTAAACTAGAAAAATACTTTTTAAAAACACAGTGTATATAATGTTCATCTTAGGTCAACTATCACCACTATTCTTAATAGAGATACATAAGAAGCTTTCTCATTTAATTCAGGAGTAAGGCAAGAGTCACCATTATTACTTAAATTGTTCTGGGAGGTTTGTCTAGCTAATGCCATAATATATGATACTGAAATAAGTATTCTAAAAATTAAAAAATAAGAGATTTATATTATTTGTATAAAATATTTTTTGATTTAGAAAACTCAAGAGAATTAACAATGAAACCTTTTAAGACTAGTAAAAAGATTCATAAGGTGGCCAAATAATTTAATAAAAATCAATAGGTTTCTTATATGCTAGCAGTTGCCAGTTGGAAAATATAATGAAAAAAATTCATTTTAAAAAGCAATAAAAAAGTAAAACATAAAGTATATCTAGGATTTGTCTATATGAAGATAGTCACAAAACCTGACTATGAATACAGCATTTAAAAAGTCTAAAAATTGTAGACACTGCCAATATAGAAAAAGTATATTTGATTCTATTTGTTGGGGAAAAAGTTATTCTAGATAAGCAGAGGCACATACCTGTGAGAATTCTCAACAAAGCAAAGAAAATGCTTGGTAATATATTACTTTAAAATCGAAAAATAAATAAAAGGGTCATGTCTCATAAGCTTGGATATCTTTTACTTTTTAAGGTTTTTATAAACACATTACTCTGGTAATATTTTTTTGTCATAAAAATTCAAACATTATTGAAATGTAAGTCAAAGAATCGAGGAGTTAATTTTAAAAATTTCTAGTCATTAGGTAATATTTTGGTGACCATCTGTGTTTTAATTTCCTTTTGGCGGGTGGAACTGTTAACCTTCACAGATACTGATTTGAAAATACTGAGGCAGGCCCAGTTCTTTACTTAGTATTAATAAATGGTTAAAAGTTCTGGCTTGTAAATCATTCTCCTTTGTATTTGGTCAGGCGGAGTAAATCAAATTACTCACAATGTAAATAATAGCCAAAGTGTTAGACTGACAGATCTTTACCTCTGCTAGTTCATTGGTTTTATTATTCATCCCAAGAGTAGGGTAGGGGTAGATTCTAAAGGTATAGCTAGAGGAGATATATAAAATATTTAGTCATTGATATGGTGCTGGCACTAACCAAGCCTGCTGTAAAAGGATCCTTGAAGCCTTTGCTGGGTTGGACAACCTTCTCTCCAGTTGGGAAAAGGCCCTCAATGGCACTCAGATGTCACAGCCCTGGGGGAACCTGGGACTCAGGTCCACTGCTATTTTCTAACTGATAAGGGAACTTCAACATCTCAACATCTCAAAGTCTGGCACAGCCATACTCAAAAACCTTAACTGGACGTTGCTTATCTACATCTGATCAGGGCTCTCCCCCACCTCACCCCTACCTCACCCCCACCTCACCCCTCCTCCTCACCCCCCGCCCAATGCTTCACATCATCCAACCTTGTCTGTTTCTGAGAAGGTTTCCTGTATCACTGTCTCAGATTCATCCACACTCAACTCGGAGGACTCTGGAAACTTCCTTGACAAGGCAAACAGCACAGCATCATGGAGAGTGAGGAACAGCTGGGCCTTGGTGATACCAGCATCAAAGAAGTCATTCCTCTCAAATGCCCTGACCACAGAAGCTACAAACCAAACCCGGAGCACACACAGGGTCAGACACCTGGGGAGGAGAGCACCCAGGGTGCAAAACACAGCCCTCTCATAGGGTGAAGGATACTCACAGTGACTCCCTGCAATGAGCACCAAAATGTTGGCATTTTGGAAGGCATTGCACATCTGTGGGGAGAGAGTAAGTCAGTGTTAGGGATCTTCACACTCACTAAGAAAGGGCCTTCTAATTAGTTGTGTTTTAAAATTCCTTTGGTCATTCACTTGTCTGGGATATATGTACCTTTGCATTCCAATTCAGCTCTATAAACATTTGATGGGTGGACTTCTATATGCCAGGAAGTGTCTAAGGGGCTGGGACTACAAAAGAGAATCAGATGGTCTTACGTGGTGTGGGGAGTGAGAGGGAGGGTTGCCCATGGTCTTAAGCAGGGAACAGTTCAGGTAGAGATAATGTTCATGTGAGTACAGTGCTAGGATAGAGACAGGCACAGGTGTGATGGGAACACACTGGATGGTCCTCAAGAACAACTATATCTTGTCATTAGTGCTTAGTGTTTGCATATGATCCCCTTCTCCCTGGAGTTCACTGAACAGAGGAGGTAAAACATGGCCCAGAGATGGTTAAGGGTAGAGCAGGAAATGGAATTCAGGAACCCTGAGGGTCATAATCAGAGCTGCCCTGTAAAATTACATCTGACTTTAGTAAAACATCAGATATTTAGTAGTATCAGATTAAGAAGGATCTGATATTGATCTCGAATTTTCTTCAGCCAATATATATACTCTGGGGCAATAAATCTTAAAGTTCAATTCAATGAAAGTCAGTATTAACTTTAATACTCCGATCAAATAAGCCAATCCTGAGCACTAAGCTAAAATGTCAAGAAAAACAAAAACAACTAAAACAGACAGACTCTATTTCTTTCACTACCAAGAAAAAACAAGGAAGCCATTCTTGATGATAAATCATAAAGTATAAAGATAAATCATGAGGTCCTTTGGTAAAGAACCACAGTGGACATACTCTGAAAGACAAGCAATGGGAGACTGAATTAGGAAGAAGATTGAATTGAGAGGTTGTTTGCTGGGATTTTTCTTATTAATATTAAGTTTTCAATTATAAAGTAAACAAAATATAATGATTTCCTCCAATACAGTGGTATAGAACAATTACAAAAGAAATGCAGAAACCTGTAATTTTAAAGTGTAAAAGTGCACCATGAATCTCCGAAGGCTGCGCAGTAAAGGTGTCTGATGTTGCCTCCACATTGGTGCTGGAGCAGAAAGTCATCAACATAGGCTGAGTATGGATGGGTCATACCAAGGACCAGAGCATATGGTGCCTCCACAAAAAAGGAAGGCAAGAGAGGAGTGAGAGGAAGAGAGGATGGCACAACTGCTTTAAGTTCCAGTGCTGGACAGGCCACTTACTTGCTGTGAGCCCAGAACTCCTAGGGGGAAATACGGCTTGTCTCTAGGGCTATGTGAGAATTAAATGAGATCATGCATATAAGTGTGTCCAACTCAGCCTGGCATTTAGAAGGCATACAGTAATGTGAGTTGAATGAAATCTTACGTCACAGCTATAGCGCAAGACTGAGAAAAGAGACCACAGCCCAGTAGGATGACCTAAAGTGGAAAAGCCCAAAAGATAAAACATAATCAAGTATACTTGAGTCTGAAAATGGGGAGTGGGAAAAGGATCTCATAGATGGAAAAGCCCTGAATATTAATCTTTTCCAAGCCTCTCATTTTATAGATGAGGAAACCAAGACCCCATGAATTTAGTAAGTTGCCCCAGGTCAGATGGACAGTCAGCAGAAGTAAAGCCACATCCACAGACCACCCACCCAGAGTTCTTTTTGACATGAGAAGCTTCCTACTGCTTCAGACCAAAAGGGAACTGAACTCACTTAAGAAAGAATCACATTCCTTTAGGAATAAGGTTTGATAAACTAAGATCTGAGGATAAAAGATGGAAAATCAGCCAAATGAGTATATCTCAAAACAAAAAACAAAAAACAACAAGTGGGTGCAATCAAAGCTGGGTTGGTCAGGATGTTTAAACCCAAGCCATCACCAACAGGAGCCAGAGTGAGATAAAGGGCTATAAACTGAGATAAGCTGGCTGAGAAAAAGATATTTTATTGATGAGACATTAAATAATAAAACCAGTATGGTTAGTTGTGCATCTCAACTGTCCATATTGTATAAGAAAGAGAGAAATGAAAACTGTCAGAGAAACCAGAGAGTGGGAAAAAAGCCAGGATTTAGGGACACAGCTTTTGAAGGAAAAATCTTCCCTGCCCCTTTCGCCCAAAGTTGCAAGCAATGAAGAGGGAACTGGGGATGATCCTATAGGTACTGGACCAGACAGCCCCAGGCTTGGGGTGTCCTTTCATCACAATTTCTTCAAATCTGAGTGCCTTTTACAATGTGTAGGTCAGAGCAGCTGAATAGCGGAGAATTCTTGGTGAGCTCTTTTCTGTAGCATTCAGACCTATTCCCCGAAAAGATTTGCAGCTAACCCTCAGGATATACTAGAAGTTGCTGGGTGTGGCATAGATTGCTGTTTCAGTGGTGTTAAGAGTTTCCTGTTTTTCATTCCTTGAGAAATAATATGCCATGCTTACGGAACCAACCCCAGTTCAGTACATCAGAGTTGGTTCATTTTCTTTTTATTCTGGTTGACCTTAAACTATCTTCAGTGTTCAAGTTTCTAGTGGCCTATGAGTCACATAGCAGCTGATCAATGACTAACAGAATTCAATCAGGATTGGGGCTGGGGTGGTGGGGTAGGTGGGGATCTTACCTGTCTTAATATGACTAAAGCCTGAGAATCCACAAAATGTACCATGGAGAAATCCAGGATGATGGTATGAGTGCTGGGTAGAAGAGATGATTCTGAATAAGGCGCAAGTGCTCTACTTCTGACCTGACTTGGAGCAGCATCAGGAAATGACCTCGAGGGTTCATTAGAAAGCCATTCTTTCTCCACAGGCTCATAGGTTTGCCCTTGATTTCTCAGAAATGTGGAAGATACTGCGTATGGCATTTGGTCATTAGATGAAATTTGGCTTGTGCTCCCACTCTCCAAACGTGAGCAGCGGATCAGGTTAACGGAGGATGTGCTGTGGTCCTGTTTACTTTCAAATCGTTCTGTGTAAATAACCTGGGACAAGAGGTAGGGGAGAACTATGATAAGATTCAAACAAGGCCTGGAAGTACTTGCAACTACGCCATTTCTGTCTAGTCACTTCTCTTTCGCTTAGGAAAGGTCTCCACAGACTAAGTACTCTACATTTTTTTACTTGGTTATCTCATTGTCACTTTAAGCTAATGGCAAAAACAAACAACATTCATCTTTCCTTATCCTCATCACTCACGGCATCTCCTTCCCAATTCCCTATGTGTATCAATGACATTATCAATGTCCTAGTGAGCCGGACTTAAAATCATCTTTGATTTATTCTTTTCCCTCATCCCTGGGTTCTAATTAGTTTAGTGCTTACTAATGCTTTGCTCTTTTCTCAACACCCCTTCTTTTATTAGTGGAACAGGCTCTGTCAGACTCCATAAGAAGACAAAAATTACTTGAGTAGGGCTATCTTTACCTTTCACTCCTTTTTCCTCCTAATTGGCCTGGAGTGCCTGTCAGAACTTAAGGTCAGTATCAAGCATAAGGAATACAACAGCATGCAAGATGTGAATACAACTCTGCAGTCACAGGGACCAGTTTGTATCTGGGGAACTGGCACATGTCTATTCAAAGGATAAATAACAACATATATGGACAAGAACTATAAGGCACATAGAAAAAATGGAAATAATTCATTTGCTAGAGTAGTATAATTTGGGGTAATGTTAAAAAAAGTTCTAATAATGTTGCTTATGAAATAAAATTTTAAAAGAGAAAAACTATAAAGATAAAAACTATGCAAGGTAGTATATATTGTATAGCAAAATAAGTTGTATGGATAGATAATATTACAGTTCAAAAGAGAGAGGTGTTCCCCAAGGTTTGAAGGTCACTGAGGCCAGGTCTTTAGGGGACAGATGTGGACTGGCTCAGTGGCGGGGAGATGCAAGGTTTTCCACACAAAAGGAAACCTCTGAGAGCCTCCTTTTTCTCTCTTTCATCTACTTTATACTACTATCTTTCAAGGGCTTTCATAATTCACTCATGCTGTGTCTGCCCAAACTTACTTCCTAGGCCAAGCCTCTTACTCTGAGGACCTCATACTTATTCATTGTCTTTGTCCAACCCTATCCATGGACTGAGAGTCCTATTTTTTTTTTTTTCCAGCCTCACATAAATCCAAATTTCTTTCTTCTGCCCAACTCACATTCATTGCTACCATGAAATTTCTGACTTTTCGAGCTTATGCTGATCTCTCTTTACCTGAAGTCTTAGAGTTGTTAAAATATTAACACATAATTTAGAGCATAAAAATATATTGTATAGTATGGTTTACTACCCTATTTCATTAGTTTTAAGATGCATCACTACTTTTTGTGTTATCAAGGAAAAGAAAACACTGCAAGTTAAACTATGACATGCCATCGATTATATAATGCATCCGCATTTCAGAGATGTGAAAAAAATGTCTATCTTAGGATTGATAAAATACAATAATAGCCTTTTTGGTCACATTAATAGAGCTGTCTTCCTAGTTTGATTTAAAACTATGGATTGCTTCAAAATAATCCTGTGATTTTTGAGGGACTATAGGTGGATGGGATTATCAATGAAACAAGGTTGGCTATGAGTTCATAAATCTTAAAGTGGATGGTGGGTACATAGAGGCTTGTTATACTTGTCTCTATTTTTGTATACATTCAAAATTTTCCATGAAAAAACTTTTTTTTTTTTAAAGAACAACATGGATGAACCATGAAGACATTATGCAAAGTAAAATAAAGCAATCACAAAAAGACAAATACTGTACAATTTCACTTATGTGGGGTATCTGCAGTACTCAAATTTATAGAAACAGAAAGTAAAATGGAGGTTGCCAGTGTCTGGGAGGAGGAGGAAATGGAAATTAGTTGTTTAATGGGTACTGAGTTCCAGTTTTCTAAGATGAAAAAGTTTTGGAGACAGATGGTCTTAATGGTTGTACAATAATGTGAATATATTTAACACTACTGAACTGTACACTTAAAAATGGTAAAGATGATAAATTTTATGTTATTTTTTTTTTTTACCACAATAAAAAGAAAAAGAAAAAAGAACTGCCCGAAGATAGAAAACCTTAAAAAAGTCTTTTTTCTTTTTCATGGTGTCATAGTTCTGGGTGCATAGTAGAAGCTCAATAATACTAGATGATCCTATTCTACTCTAAAGTGTATTTGTTGATGTCCTGTAAATACTCTCTACAATATTCAGTGCAGTGTAGATACAAAATAAAAATTAAATATAGTGTTAATTTTGTCCTCTTGGCAGAGAAATTGGTATTTTCAGGGAGCTCAGTAGAACCTATGCTTCGTTAGGGCGTATGGCAACGAGAGTGGGAGCTTGGTGTTTGCGGGGGTCTACATGAGGAGGCAGGATGGAGGCGCGCGTGTGTGTGTGTGTGTGTGTGTGTGTGCGCGCGCACGCGCGCGTGCACGTGCTCGCGCGCCCCTCCAGAGTGCGGGTATAGACTAGGTAAAAGGCTTCAAACCTAAAAATGAGCAGCCCTGCTCTGGGGGAAAAAGAATATTTAGATCAAGTCTGAAATAATGAACACTTTGTTCATCAGCTAAAATAACCTTCAGATGCTATAAAATTCCCATCTGTGCTTATCTGCTCTTAACTGCCCACCATCATTTCCTTGGTCACAGGCAGACATTAGGTGACCCTGGCAGATCCTTGAAAACCCCAGCCACCTTGACCCTGCCCTAGTTGGAATTAGAAAATTTTAAATCTTTAAGTTCTTTAGTTTCAGAAATCTAAAAGCAGGCAGCTAAAAGTCAGAGAAATAGATACAATTAGGGAATTGCTGACAATCTCAATGAGTCAACTGTACTCTCTGTGCTCAAATAAGCCTCCAGCCACTCAGTAGGGACTCAAGAGTCAGGACGTTTCCTCCTACCTACTTTCAAGTCAAGATCTGACCCTTAAAGGGGAACCTGTGTCTTCACTTCTGAGTAGAAATCTTTAATTTCCAATTACCTGTGGTCCATCTAAGAGTGAAATCCCTGAGGTGATTTTGATTTTATTTCCTTTTCTTAAAACAAGTACTAGTGCTCTTCTTTATAAACTGTGGAGAAAAATGCAGAAAAGAAGAGATGTTTCTAACCCTAGGTGGTGGCTCCAGTTCATCACAGTTGCAGAAACAGTGACAAATCTTTCCTTCCCGTGAGCCGTTTTCGCTTTCATTAAATAGGACGAAAATTTCTTCTTCTTTAAGAGGCACCCTGATCATTTCAACCTGAAAGATATAAGAGGGCTCTCATACAGACAGCGAGTGGTGGAAGACAGGGTTACTTGGGGAGGGCGAGGGGAGCAGGCGGAGAAAAGCAGGGGAGGAAAGCCGTTACCTCTCTCAACAGCTTGTCCTTTAGGTGGTGAATATTTACAAACGTAATGGAGTTGCAGCACTGGAAGATTTTCACCCCAGGAATGGTTGTAATCTGCAAGACAAATGTAAAATTAAGAGAAAATTTTCAGCTCTTTTATGGAATAAGAAAAAATCTTTAGAACTTCCTGGATAATCTGTAGTCTTTATAAGAGGCAAGAGCTAGCAAATTCCTTCCTTGAATTTTCACCCCCTACTTTTTCTACTATTTTCTTTTCTCCTCCATTTTCTTACTCCTCTCTTTTCTTTTGGCCCCTAAAGAACATTTTAAAATTACCCTTAATTGGCCGCAGGACTCTGAGGATTTACCTACTTAAGCTCCCCACCTTTACCATTGTGCATCCCTTTCCCTGCCTTTGTCAATGTGTGTCTGTAGTGCAGCCAACACCACCAAAGAGATTTGGGAGAAAACTAAGCAGCAGACCTAGTATATTCCATCATTTGGGCAAAGAAGTGGGACTGATTTAGATTCTTACCTCCCGATAGTCATGGACGCTTCTATAAATGTTGGTGTTAGGGATCTGACCCAGGAGGAGAATCTTAGTTCTGAAAGGGAATGCATTTGGCTTTAGGTCATAGTTGCCTTACCTTGCCATGGCTAACCTCCTATTACCTGAGACTAAGTACCTGTGTGACTGAAGAGTGATCAAGAAGAAAGCAAAAGTTATTGAAACAAGTAGTCCGATGTCCAGTCCCAGGAAAATTGCAGATGCGAATGTCACTATCCAAATAATCTTATGGGAAAGGGGAAGAAGGGAAAAAGAAGACCATGATAACAAGCAGAATTGAGAAAATCGCCGCTCTAATCCCTTAATTCGCCTTCACTCTCTCCCTCCCAAGACCTGGAATTTAGAGAACAAATTCCATAGTCGTATGGACTGACACCATCACAAATGATTGGGTCCCAAGGCTGCCTAGCAATTCTTTTATGCTCTTAACTGCCCACCATCATTTCCTTGGTCACAGGCAGACATCAGGAGACCCTGGCAGATCCTTGATCCACCCATCTTGGTAACCTATCTTTTCAATTTTCTCTTGAAACTTCACTTTCCTTGTGTGCAAAATGTATGTAATAATATCTACTTTATAGGCTTTGTTGAGATTAGAAACACCATTTGTAAATCAACCCAGGACACGCGCCAAGTAGTTGCTATTTGAAGACCTAGGATAGTTACTGTAAATCTTTAACATTCTTTTAAAGCCCCTACCCCACCACCTTCTCCATTACTCTCAGCAGGTGACTTGACTTTAATCTTCATAGAGAAGACAGTCTGACACTCCCTTAAATATTTACTTCCCCCTCCGCCAGCCACTTGTTAGTTAATATCTGCACTCAATTTTCCTTCATCCTCTCCAGTACTGTTGGAAGTCCTATTTCTCCTCCTGGAGATGGAAGCTCTACCTATGCATTGGACCACATATCCTCTTAGCTCCTCAGGGACCTGGATCTCCTTGCCTCTGTTGGATCCTTCTCCTCTTGTCATAGTATACACCCCCATATTTTATTTCTTGCTGTTTCCCCTTTCTATCTCCTAGTTTTGAGCTTTAGAGAGAAGGAAGGCACTCCATCAGTTATTCTGCCTGGCAAGACAGAATAACTTATTAGGATTTCTGTTTCCTATGCTGGAAACACATTAACTGGGTTAAAAGTCATTCAAATATGCAATGCATGGCAAGCCCTTTTTACTAGATGTGTGTGTAATTGTAGCCACTTCATTAATTCCTTTTTATTTAATTTTGCATAAATGGAATGAGGTCACAGCATTTCCATGCACCAACAACTCTGACTCTCCTTTTTTTTTTAAAGCAAAAGTAGAGTATTAGGCATCAAAGGGTTGCTAGTGTCCTTCACACTGATCTCTTTGGTTTGTTCTCTTTCCCCCTCTTCAGCCTTCTT